CCGTCCTTAGTCTTTAACATGATCCTTCTATACCTGCACTTGCTTGTTTACCTTTATATATGATCTTGCATGTGAACTGGCCTTTTGGCCTTGCTCTTGTGCTTGGATTGTGTGGTGACGTTGTGATCCACCCTGAGCTTGCTTTGCTTTGCTTTGCTTGACTGGTCTTGTGACCTCCTGTTCTCCCCTACTTTGCCTATGGGGGTGTGTCAAACTCATATCATATAGCTTGTCTAGGCTATAGTGGGGTAGACACTATGGGGTACAGTTTCCTAGAGTTTCCTACTTGTACCCAACCTTGTGCTAGTTCATCCATTCCTCATTCTTCACAATCACTTCCCTGGTACACACAAATTGGCCTCGAGATACTTGGCCTGGTCACCGCGGTCCACGGCAGTGCCATTCCTAAGGAGCCTGCGACAGTTCAACAGGCTCTGAGGGGGGAGCATTAGGAAAAATGGCGCGAAGCCATGGACAAGGAGCTGAAAGCAATGGAGGAACGCAACACCTGGAAGGTCGTTCCTATCGGCGTAGCACGGAACAAGACGATTCTCACCGGAAAGTGGGTCTTCCGCGTGAAGACAAAGGCTGACGGCACCATCGACAAGTTCAAAGCACGCTGGGTCGTACGCGGCTTCGACTAGGAACACGGACGCGATTTCACCGAGACATTCACTCCACTCAGCCGACACACCTCGCTGCAAATTCTTCTCGCGGTCGCCGCCATGAAGAGAAAGAAGCTGCGGCAAATTGACGTCGCCAACGCCTTCCTCTACGCACGCGTCAATGCAGAAATCTTTGTCGAGCTACCGTACGGCTCCAACGGAGAGCCTAATCAAGTCTGTAAGCTGTTGAAGTCACTCTACGGTATCAAACAAGCTCCAAGGCTATGGCAGCAGTACCTACACGCAAGACTCACTCGCATCGGATTCCGCCAGCTACCTCACGACCAAGGCATGTACCGGCTCACGAAGGGAACCGACTACATCCTGCTAATCGTCTACGTAGACGATTTGCTCTACATCGGCTCAACCAATAGCGTCACTACCTGGTTCGAAGGGGAGTTACAAAGGGATCTCACACTCACGGTCTCGTCCACCGTCACACAGTACCTCGGCCTCAACATCCAGGAAGAAGAAAATGCGATCTACCTCAGCGCCGCGAAATACGCCGATACCATCGCCAAGCGCTTCGCACTCACGCCAACCGTCATCTCCACGCCATACCGCTACACGGCAGGAAACCACAAGGAAGGTTCCGCTCTACTCAAGCCCGCCGGCATATGCGACTACTAGAGGAAGCTGGGATGCCTCCTCTTTGCAGCTGTCATCTGCTGCCCGGACCTATCGTACTCTGCAAGCCAGCTCACCACCTACCTCAAGAAACACGAAGCGGAACATCTGGCGGAACTCGACCGCGCTCTTCACTACCTCATCAGCACTCTGACGATCAGCCTGACCTATCACCAGAACGGGACTACAGCGCCTAAACTAATCAGCTACGTTGACGCCGATCACGCCGGCGACTCCGACAACAGACGCTAGTGCACTGGCTACATCTATCGCCTCGAGCCTATCGGACCTATCTCATGGCAGTCGAGCAAGCAAAAATTAATCGCCCTCTCTTCAGCTGAAGCAGAATATATCGCACTCTGCTCAGCCACCAAGGAAGGACTGTACCTTTGCGAACTCCTGGAGGAAGCCAAGCTAGCCCAGTTACCAAACTTTACCCTGTTATGCGACAACCAGTCAGCCATTCACATAGCCAACAAGAACGGCTTCGCGAACAGGACGAAACACATTGCCTTACGATACTTCTTCGTGAAGGACGAGATCGAGAAGGGGAGACTCGAACTGTCATACTGCCCCACGTCCGAGATGGCAGCTGACTATTTGACCAAGAAGCTCGGAAAACAGAAGTTCGAGTACTGCATGCTGCTGACTGGACAGAGCCACACTCCAGAAGCGAAGGGGAGTGTTGGAAACAATTAACTCTAAGCGCCTCTGTTGTGTCGAAACACCAAGTCAGAAGCAAAACAAAGCATATCGAAGCACTGGCTAGTCAACCCTCGGAGGTTGAGCGGTTGCTGGAGGTTACGCGAAAGTCAAAAGTCAGTGACCTTTGACCTGACAAAGTACAGCGCGACAGCAAGGACACACAACTGCCTGGTTACAGAGCAGTTGCCCGAGTCGTCACTGTATCGAACCGCAAGAGCAACAGTAAAGTAGCTATAACTGTATCTCTTCATATTCCCTGTACTCTTATATAATCTTGTATCTCTTTGTTTTAATCAATCAACTTTGGCCTCACATACTAGCGCAAGGTGGTTCACAACTCTTCATTAAACGCTTTCCGCTACTACATCAGTTCTACCCAGAATTTACCCCTGCAAAGATCCTAAGGGCTATTTCTCAGCCCAACAAGCGTCACCTTGGGCAAAACGGAGCGTCACCCCTGATTTTGTTGAGAGATACAGCCCTGAAAGACTTAACCCTCGATCATGAACGGTCACCGAGGGTAATTGCGAAATCCAACTGTTCACACCCAGAAACCAGCAGTAGATTTCCGTACCCACGGCCCGGTTTTTTCCAATGTAGGTGCGGCTGTGGCTGCAGCGAGTCGTCGCTTTGCAACAACACACGGCGCACACCCACACACACATGCACCGTGCATTCCGAACCAAACTGCTGCCATCACATCTCTTGGCTGTTTGAAACAGGGCTACGGCGCAGTCCGCATGGCGCGGCTGGCATGGCCGGCCTAGCGAGTAGAGAGCGGCGCCGTAGCTGAGAATAAAGAAGAGCGTTGCAGCAGAAGGGAGAGAAACTAGGCTAGAGAGGGAGGAGGCCTAGCTCCAAGAGACGTAGAAGAGAGGTCAAGAAGTAGAAGGTAGATTCCAGAATGAGATGATACAAGTGTTACAAGAGTAAGCATAGTGAGGAGCCATAGCTAGAGTTAGCTAGCTAGGCAAGAGAGAAATGAAGAAAGGAGCGGTTTCACTAGCAAGCAGTTGAGTACATATAGCAAACCCTAAATTGATCTGTACTCACTATTGAGTACCCCACTGCAAGCTAGACAAACATAACATTCTGACACACCCCCATAGCCAAAGTGGGGTGTAATCAGCAGAGCACACAGTCATAGAGCAGGCTCACAATGGCAAGCAAAGCTAGAGGCTATCACAGAGGGCAAGTGAGGAGGAGGAGAGTACTGTGGACGGAGAGAAGATGGGAGGCAACGACTGAAGCTACAGAGGCACGGGCACAGGAGCGGCTGACTCAGTGGCTACCAAAGCAAGGGCGACGGACTACTGGAGTGACTGGCTCCGCGGCTAAGACGAGCGGCAGGAGCAACGAACCCACTGGCGACTGGTGCAACAGGCTCACTGGCTACCGAAGCAAAGGCGACGGACTACAGGCGCTGCAGGCGACACGACAGCTACCTCCACACAACCTCCTCCAACTGACCCACACCCTTGACACACACCCCCTGCTGAACCCCTAACTCCACTCCCACGTCACCCCCCTAGCACCACTCCTTCGGCTCCCACACACCCACCCCCCTGAGCGGCAGCTGCAACAGCGGGAGACGGAGGAGGAGGAGGAGCAGGGGACGGCGCACACAACCGGCACCCCCACAACCGTCCCCTCCACACTCCCCACCCCCAAACCCTAAAGCGGGTGGCACGGGGTAGGAGCACGGGGGACGGAGAGGAGGACGGCGCGCGGCCCCCAGGGCGCCACCACGAGGCAGCGAGGGGCCGTGCGCGGCTCCTCAGGGCGCGGCGACGTGAAGGGCGGGGGCCGTGCGTGCTCCCCAGGGCGCCACCACGGGGCAGCAAGGGGCCGCGCGCGGCTCCAGGGGTGGCGCGCGGCCCCTAGGGCGCCACCACGGGGCAGCAAGGGGCCGCGCGCGGCTCCCCAAGGCGCCGCGACGTGAAGGGTGGGGGCCGCGCGTGCTCCCCAGGGCGCCGCGACGAGCAGGGCGGGGGCCGCGCGTGCTCCCCAGGGCGCCGCGACGAGCAGGGCGGGGGCCGCGCACGGGTCCCCAAGGTAGGAAACCGCCGCGCGCCTAGGGGCGCACGGCGGGCAGAAAACCGCCGCGCGCCCCGTGCGACTCCTTCTTCCTGCCGCGCACGGCGCCTAGGGTTAGCTAGCTAGGCAAGAGAGAAATGAAGAAAGGAGCGGTTTCACTAAGCAGTTGAGTACATATAGCAAACCCTAAATTGAGCTGTACTCACTATTGAGTACCCCACTGCAGGCTAGACAAACATAACATTCTGACAACAAGAAGTAGGAAGAGATATTTATGCTAGAGAGAATAAGCGTGGCTCGAGAGGAAAGCCCGCATCGCCACGCTTTGAGCATTGCGCATCTTGGCATAGCGCCTCGATGCCATGCCTCGCTGGATTCTAGAATGTGACGGGGATAAGAGGAAGATGTCTATGCTAGCAAGTGTTCCTGTTCGGAGCTAACTAGGCATCGACCCTTCGGGAATTCCCATGCATCCCGCATGGTGAATTCCCGTCTTGTTACACTGTTGCGTTCCTTGGCGGGTATCATCCTGCTGCGTGCATTTCCGGTTGCGTATTGATCCTCTTCTGCTGGCTCCTGCCAAGCTGCCACTCCGTGTTTTCCTCTTTCCTCTACTTCCGCCTCCTTTGAAGGCACTTGCAGCGAATGAGGTGCTCTCGCGTCGCCCTCCAAATTCTTCGTGCCGCTCCCGAATTTTTTTTTGCGCTCGAGCGCTTTCTCGTGCTCAACTGAAGGCGCTTTGCCAGATATGATGAGTACGACAGCTCGTGGGTGTACGAGTGGTCTCACTACCGCTTAATGCTTTCACTCTTCGCCTCGCCTCCCAACGGGTAACAATAACTTCTTCTATTTTCGACCTCTGTCCTCCCCACCGCGTCCCACTCTCATCTTACCCTTCATTAGTGCGACATTCTACCACCTGACACAGGCGCGGGCACATTCGCACCCGGAAGCAGCGGGAGGCACATGGCTGGTGTGCGCGAGGCGTGCGCGGCAGGGGAGGCAGCGATGAGGGCGGTGCAGGCGGTGAGGGGCGAGGTGGCCGCGCTGCAGCGGCAAGTCGTGTCCGTGCGGGAGGTGGCAGTGCTGAAGCACAGCCTGGAGGACGAGGTGACCGCGCTGCGGGGGGAGGTAGCAGCGGTGTGGGAAGTGGCGGCAATGGAAAGGAGTGAGGTGCAGCGGCTGACGGGCAAGGTGGCGGACTTGAAGAGAGACCTGGCAGCGGTGAAGGCAGTGCTTTGTAGCAAGGAGGAAGACAGAAGTGACATGTGGCACGTGAGTGCATGCTTACCCGTCACGTCCTCCTCTTTGACCTCTTACCCTGCATTCTCTTTCCCTGCTTTCCCTCTTACCCTGCATTCTCTCTTACCCTGCGTTCTCTCTTACCCTGCGTTCTCTCTTGCCCTGCGTTCCCTCTTACCCTGCGTTCCCTCTTTCCCTGCGTTCCCTCTTACCTTGCGTTCTCTCTTACCCTTCGTTCTCTCTTACCCTGCACTTCCTCTTACCCCGCGTTCCCTCTTACCCTGCGTTCCCTCTTCCCCTGCGCTCTCTCTTACCCTGCGTTCTCTCTTACCCTGCTTTCCCTCTTTCCCTGCGCTCTCTCTTACCCTCCGTTCCCTCTTACCCTGCGTTCCCCCTTACCCTGCGTTCTCTCTTGCCCTGCGTTCTCTCTTACCCTGCGTTCTCTTTTATTCTGCGTTCCCTCTTTCCTTGCGTTCCCTCTTACCCTGCGTTCCCTCTCACCCTGCTTTCTCTCTTACCCTGCGTTCCTTCTTACCCTGCGTTCCTTCTTACCCCGCATTTCCTCTCTGCAGAAAATTCTGGCAGCATCAGAGGAGACGAAGCTAGAGCCACGCAACAATCAATACGCGACAGACGCAGTGCTAGCACACGTGGCCGGCATGACCCGCCTCTCCACCGTCAACCTCGCCGATTCCTACCCCTTCACCACCCACGGCCTTTAGCAGATCTACTCCCTCCCAAGCCTCACCTACCTCGACCTCACCGGCACAAGATTGGGGGAGGAGAACGACAGGGCGATCTCTCTTGAGGGCATTGGCGCAGCGACTGGTCTCCAAGCGCTCGTATTGGATGAGACCATGGTGCGGGACACCGATCTGCTGCACATCACTTTGCTCACATCGCTCAGAACCCTCTCCCTTAATAACGGTGACTGCCTGACCCAGGCTTCCATGCTGCATGTGGGCCGGTTGACTGGACTACAGGATCTTTGCCTAGGCGGGTGTAGCAAGATGGGAGACAATGTGCTGCCGCTGCTGGCCGGCCTGGGCCACCTCAGCTCAATCTCCATGCCTCGTGGGGTCACTGATGCCGGCCTGGTCAACTTGGAGCAGTGCTCGCTTGCGCACAAACTCGGGCTTCACAATGAGGCGCTTGAGCATGTCAAACATGTCCTTGAGCCGTGCCTCGTTTGCCTTGCTGCTAAAAAGCATTGCACGGCTGTGCAGCCGCAGCATCTCTGCAAGGGCCGGCACAAACACCTCCCAGAACGACACCGGCTGGCCAAGAGGAGACAGAGGGGATGGCAGAGCACGGTAGAGAGAGTTAACAAGTTGTAGGGGAGTGCGTATAAAAAAACAAGGGATTTCTGTGTGCACAGTGCAGCCAAAACATATCTACCAAAGTTGGCGCAAGCATCTCCCAGAACAACACTGGCTGACCAGCAACAGAACAAGGAGGCAACATAGAGTGAGGGGCAAGAGAAGGGTGTGGAAGGGAAGAGAGGCAAGGCACAAAACAAACACAGAAGGCACTACCTGGTGCAAGCTTCTGGCAGGTGTTTACCTGGGGCAAGCTCCTAGAAGGTGTTACCTGGGGCAGGTTGAGAGCAGGTGTTACCTGGGGCATGCTGAGGAGGGCGGAGATGGGGCCAGTGGTGTCATAGTCCGTGACCACCGCGCCCTCTGCTGCACATCCAGCATGCCAGCAGAGGTGACGCCCTGGCAGGCAAACAGCGACAGCCTCTGCAGCGACGGATGCACCTACGTCACGGACCAAGGGCTGTAGCACCACACATCTCTCACCAACCTGGTGTCGCTCGTACTGCCGCTTGTGGTTTCAGACGCCGGCATGGTGCATGTGGGGCGCCTCACGGGACTGCAGAAGCTGAGTCTGGCGCATACTATGGTGGGGGACTATGGGCTGCGGCAGCTCACGACGCTAACACAGCTGGGGTCTCTTGACCTGGTGATGGAAGCAGCATTGACCATAGGGGGTTGCTCAGGCGCTTGGGCTGGGAGGGCTACACCTGGGGACGCTAATACCGTAAAGGAAAGAGGTAAGGCAGCCATTGGTCAACGCAGGCCGACATAGCATCATGCCAATCTGTTGTGTCATTTGTTGATCTGAAGTGCCCGGCTTATTATAGAGCAAAGGGGGGCGAGGCAGACCAAGTAGGAAACGGATTTTTTTAAACACTATCCATCACAATCTATTTGTATTGATTTACTTTGTTTTCACGCTCCGCCTTGGCAAGGGTAAACTACCAGTCATAGGGCTTAGTATGTGTACATACGATATTTGGTGTTGAAGTACACATTGGCATATTTACACATTGCAAATCTGACTCAAGGGCTGTTCCATTTTTGTAGTATGTAAGAACTTGACACAACCCACATTTATCCCCGTCAAAGAGTGTTATTCTAATCGATACAGATTAAGGTCAGTTTTAGGTCATACGAGGCCTGCACAGCACACACCTCACGAATACCCCCGTTACATTGGGATCCGTTATTGGCTACATAGCATTTACACATTGGACCTTTATTTATTTTCACAAACGAGACAGTTTTCCACCCATTACACATTACAATACACCATGCCCATGCGCCCTAAAAACAAACCATGGTGAGGTGTCGTGCCGAGCCCATTGCCACATATACTCGGCAGCCGAAAGAAAACCAACATCACGTCAGCCAGGGCTCTTCAATGTCACCAGTCGCGTCCATCTTCCCCCCATACTGCACGGGCTTGAACTTGATGTGGTATGGCACCAGCACAAGGTTGCCACCGAACACCCACTCTGGATATGCCGCCTTGCATGCTTGAAAGAAAACCTCGGATATAAAAGGCCTCGAATTCCCATCCTCGCAGCTCCAGCTCCAGCTCAATCTACAGAAGCTCTATCTCTGCCCACAGAGCATTCAGGGATATGACAAAGGGTGGAGCTCAGAGAGTTACCCCAGTCACGTAAGCCACAGGCCGAAACTACCCCTTTCCGACGACACTCATTGGGCGCGTATCTCTTCCACAAGGTTTCCTTCGTGGCGATCTCAATCTCTAGCTTGTAGATGTCGAGGGATGTGACCGTGATTTGGTGCGGCGCCCGTGTGACGACGAGTCACTCCTGAATTTCGCACAGATTTTGTTGACCACTTTATTGTACGCGCCATCCCTCATGGCGCGGTCAATGTCCAGCTGGCAGACGTCGTAGTGGCAGCGCAGCACAATGAGAAGTGCCACATTTCGCTCCTCGTCCGTCGGCCAGTACGTGACGCCATAGGCGGAACAGGAACGCAACAGCAGATGCATCGCCTTCTTCGCGTAAAACTGGAGGGATACAAGGTGGTACATGGGGGGTATCACATGTCGCCACGGTGAAGGAAGGGGGGACAAAGGCATGCAGTGAATTCGACGGCTGAACAAGTGAGAAGCAAACCGACATGAATGAAGACGTTAAGCACTCACCCGAATCTTCTCTTCCGGGGGCAGTCCCAGCTGCAAATCGGCCCTGGCAGTGTTTAGATTGAAGTCTACAACGATCGACATCCTCGTGGCTGGCCGCTCTCGCTTCATCCCTCTTCCTTGAACTACCAGCTCATGTCTCTCCCATGCACCACTATCAGGCGCTCCGTTTTTCCTGGCCATCCCCGTCCCCGTCCCTCGGCCATCCCTAGCCACCCAAGGCGCTGGTGGGTTCCCCACAATTGCCAGTCTCTCTGCACCAGCCAGTCGGTTCATGGTGAAGCCGCGGTTCGGCGTTCAAATGCCACTGCCAGTGGCTCGATGTCATGGGCAGCTGTAGAGGGATGTGGTGGTGGTTGCGTCGAGGGTGATGCGGCTCTCCAAACCCTACTCTGCTAGGGGCCTCGTGTGACAACGGGAGTGTTGTTAGGCCCCGTCCTCGCTTGGGCGGAGCCAACCTTGTGGTCGGATGTGCGGGGGTTGCAGCCGACTTGCAACAGTGAGCATGGGGGCCACTGCAGGGGCGCCGAGCTGGAGGGCGCCTGGCTGGAGGGCGCCGAGCAGGAGGACACCGCCCTAGACGCCTGGTTGGCGTCCCGGACGCCTGGCCGGCGTCCTGGGAAGCTGGACGCCTAGCTGGGCGTCGCCACGACTACCCAAGCTCCTGGTCGACGTCGTGGGCGCCTGCACGGCGTTCTGGAAGGCCAGACGCCGACCTAGGCGTCTGCACAGTGAGCCTAGGAGTCTAGGACGCCGCCCTAGGCGTCTGCACAGCGTCCTGGGGGCCCGGACGCCGACCTGGGCATCTTGGGGAGCCCGGACACCGACCTGGGCGTCTGGTCGGCGTCCTAGGAGGCTGGACGCCGCTTTGGAGGTTTTCTCGGCGTCCTTAGCGTCTGGACGCCGATCTGGGGGTTCAGAAGGCGTCTTGGGCGCCTAGATGGCGGACTGGGGACGTTGGGCATTGGTGGCCGGCTGCGGACTGTACTGGTTGACCGGGCGTGGTTGCCCGGTCGACCGAGATACCCGGGCGACATGCGCGAGTGTCGCCAGGGTGGAGTCTGCGAGGCCGACCTCGGGGGTGGTATCCCGAGGTCGACGCGGCTGTTGGGCGCAGTCGCTGGCGTGGAGTCTGCCAGGCGTCTGCGCTGTGCACGTGACAAGGAAGTGCGCACCAACCAGCTGCGCGCACCTGCGAAGCAGGTGCACCATTGTCCTGCGAGTGCAACGCTGTGCAGCCGACTTGCTGCAGCGTTGGCACCCCGTGGACTGCAAAGTTGGCGAACCGCTACTCTGCAACGCTGGAGCGGTGCAAGCGCTGCTGCGCTGGAGCGCGGTCGACCGTGCTGCGCTGGAGGTCGACCAGCAGCCTAGCTAGCTCTGATGTAGTCAATGCTGCCAATGTTGTTGCAATAATGATTGTCATGTTTTCTTAGTAAAACTCTTGCCAATTCTCCCCATGAACTAGCAAGCAGCGTGAACACAAGGAAACGACTAAGTGAACGAACGTAGAGATCACACGAGCACCCGTGCCTAGCCCGTAGTGTAGCTCCCGTTGCAGCAGTTATCTCCTCATGGTGCGGTGAGCGTGGACGGCACACGACTTACCTTTCAGTCAGGTCGACGTAGAGGTCACTTACCTAAGTTGTTCGTACGCCGGCAGCCGTGCAGTCCCTAGCGTGCGCGTAGGTGACGCCAAGGTGATGGACACCCTGGAGGGACGGTTGGAGGATGCGAGGAGACGCCATGAGGCCCAGGAGAATGGGACGATACCTTGGGCGGTCTTTGAGGCCGGACTCCGCACCATGTGGGCGTCGGAGCATCCCCCTTCTCGACCGGCGTCTCCTTGACCAGTGAACACAGAGGTCGGCGTCAACGTGGGTGTCAACGCCGATGGTGACCAGGTCGGCAGTAGTGCGGGAGGCATGTCGATGAAGAGAGGCGTGATACACGCCGATGAAGTCGGCGGTATTCAGACGCGAGGGATGCGGTCGACGGCGGCTGCAAGCACCTCACAGGGCAACGTCGGAGGACGACGAAGCGGATTGTCGCCGATGTCGGCGACCCAGGTGACGACGCGCGGGATTGCATCGAGCTACGGCTGCTTCAAGTTCACGCCGGACAGGATCTTGGTCACCCCGCCGCTCGTTGGTCAACCAGACATTCTCACCTGGAAGGAAGCTATCGAGCCCTTGCTGCAATGGCTGGGCTGATCGGCTTCGCACGAGCGACCGTGGCGACGCCGGAGAAGCACCACGCCGACTTACGAGCAGAGTTTTGCGCCGTGCAGCTGTTGACCTTCACGATCATCTCGCGGTGCTGCTCGCCACGCGTGCAGATTGCTTTGAAATGGTGCCGACAGTACCTCGACGCCGGCCACCGGGCGTGGCACTTCATCGAGTTGACCTACCAAGTCACCGACGACTTGTTCATCGCCGAGCTGGAGGGGCAGCTGACTCATCAACGTATGGGCAACGAGGAGACGGCAACCGACTACTGCAACCAGGCCCGGCGAATTCTCGCCACCATCAGGATGGCCGGCGCGCAGTACTCGACGGCGTCGTACGTCACCCACGTTATGCAGGGACTCTCGAGTAGCTATAACCTCTTGAAGCGGCTGTCAATGGCGCCGAGCACGAGGACGTCGCTCAACGAGGACAATCTGACCTCGTACATCTTGCAAGATGAGGCGATGCAGGAGGCTGAGCGGTCACAGGAGCTCTTGGCGCAGGCAAACTTCGTCGCCCCGGCGAAGCAAGGAGGTTGACCAGGGCAGTGCGGACAGTCCGGCGGTGGCGGTAGCAGTGGCTGGAAGCCGGCCAAGGAGGTTGACAAGAAGAAGTCGACCAAAGACAGCGGTCGAGGAGGAGGTCGACGACGGGAGTGCTGGCTATGCGGCGACCCCGACCACCTCTCCTTCGAGGGCCCTGGCCGCAGTGACTCCGACGACGACGATGCCAAGGGATGCCGCGGGAGGTCTGGCAGTCGTCGTCCTCGTCGAGGAGGAAACAAGCCGCGCAAGGAGAAGCAGTCGATGACGTCGACCTCGACGAAGGACGCCGACTCCTTTGCAGGCGGCAAGGGGCGGGACGACAAGACGGCGTCGTGCTCGCTAGTCGGCGTCGTGGAGCCGATCGTCTCGCTGGCGCCAGAGGCCAGGGAGGACTTCCAGGCGGTGGCGGCAGCTGTGCAGGCGAACTCGGCGGTGGTCCTGCTTGACAGCGGTTGCTCCCACCACCTGATGGGGACGAAGGAAGTCTTCGTCGACCTGCAGCCGAGCGGCTCCGTCAAGCACGTGCGCGGCTTCAATGGGGCACTACAGG